GTATGCATTAAAGTGGAACATAATTTAAAACAACAATAATAAGTAGTTTTTCATATTATCGCGTGAACGGCAGAGCAGCATCACAGTAATGATACACTTAACTAAAGGATTTTTTTTAACGAAAATTTTGTTTTTTTCTTGAGGATTTGAAAAAGAGAAGGACCCTTTACATAACAATCAGTTCAATTAGATAATCATTATAAGTCATCAGTTAGGCCAGGTTCACATCTAACTTCACATTCACTTTCACCTATACCTTGGTCTGCTGGGCCGTTAGGGCACCACACAAGATCTGTCAACATTCTTTCTCCATTCTTCACTGTCATTTGCCTTTGATAGAATTTCATTCTGATAATCTTTCTGAAAATATTGATACCTGCCTTTTTACCTGCCTGGGTGGACCACTTCGGGGACGATTTTGAGTTTGTGTTTCCACACCACCGTTCCTCAAGGGACCGTTACACTAATGGCAAGTCCTGCACGGTTAGCTTGGTACAACACAGGAAAATGGCGGAGATTCCCGGTGTACTCGGCCTTCGGCCATGCATTCTAGTCCATGCGCCCGGAGTGCCAGATACATTGGAAATAGCAACGCTTTACATAGGCATTGACTTGGACCTCTTCCAGACAGAACGGTGGTTCAATCCTTTAACACGCCAAGAGCTCGAAGAGCCTTGACTCAGCTCTTTTGACAATCAAAACGGTAGTCCCTATGTGGACATTCATAAGGGCGATGCCTCCCCGGCATCAACGTGGCACCACGAACGAGTAGAAACATTGATTAGAGGAGACGAATAGGAAAAAATGGGAAGCAGAACAGAGCCCCCAAGAGATTGCAAATTGGAGTTGATTGCACATGCGGGGATGGAAGCCCAAAAGTCTGTCATAATCCAAACACCGTTTCTTCTAAAATTTATTTCAATGCATTGTAGTAATTAAATGGTCGGTAAAACCATTGTACAGTATTCAGTGATTAGTTAGTAAGAGAGAATAATTAACAAGCAAAATATAAACGATACTTTAAAAAAAAAAAAAAAAAAAAAAAAAAAGCTTGTCTAGGGGAAGAACTGCAAAATTACTACCATATCTCTCAATACTTCAAAGGATAACTCCCTTTTTCTAATTAAAACAAACTAAATTAATTACCACTAATAGATTAACTAATTGGTTAATATTTTGATTAAATCGTGTATTTGTCATCAACTATGGATAAATGTTGCACAAATTTCAACTTAGTCGAAAATGGAAGGTGGGAGAAAAACACATTTAAAACATTTGTACCGGACGGACAGACGGGGAGAGCGCTTATAGAAGCTTGGTAATGAAGTATCACGCAACTTGAATTTGTCTTAGTAAGTCCATCGGTTGCGGCATTTCATTTATACATAGTTTAAGAAGAGAGAGAGGAAATATAATATTTTCTTATATTTTTTGCTGTTCTTTAACACGTGTAGGCCTATTATTTTCAAATCTGGAGTCAATGCAGCGTTAAAAAAAAATTAAAGAGGACCATGCGTATCTGTAATTAACCAATTTTCGATGTAATTTTGTTTTTAACTCCCTTACTTTACGTATATTAATAGAAACCTCATCCTGGAGATACGCCTTCAACTTGACGTCAACTTACAGACAAGATTCTGATATATTTTGGCCTTACGGTGGTCTCAAATACTCTGACTGGACGGCCAATAGAAGCCCAGAGCTAGGTAGGTCGACTTTATTGGTAGGCCTATAGGCCTATATATACCTGATCATTCAATTATACAAGTCTATTTATAGACTGGGATTTAGAATTCCGGAATTTTTAGGACGCCCTTGAGTTCCTGACATTAGTTGGGGAAAGTGAAGGCGGTTGGTTGTACCACACGTGACCCAAGATACGGTAACACCGCCAAGCAGTAACGCAGTACTAAGCGAGCTAACATCTTTTACCTAACCTATCCCTTAGTCTGTTGGACCGTTGGGGCACCATGCAAGATTTGTCGACCGTCTTTCTTTACTAACCTTTAAGCGTTGCGACTAGGCTGAGTAGCCGTATCGTCGGATCACTGGTTCGACGTACTCCCTTAATTTCGTTAGATTGATCTCAGTATCTTCTCTCATTAAAAATGTGGCCCCTGGTGCTGCCTTTCATATGTGTAATAAGTATGCGACCTATCAAACTTATAATATAGTTTTTTGACTCTCAGTAATTTTTTGCATCAAACTAGTACAGAAGTAAAATCAATAAAAAGTCATCAGATTTTAGCGCATTATTTCGCATAGGTTAATAATGACAGGCTTGGATGACGAAAAGACATCTAGAGTTAACGTCCCGTGGACAAGGGCTTTGTCTGCGCTAGATGTGGCAAAATATGAAAGTCGATGCTGGGAAAAATACTGTACTCATCTTTAATCTTCGGAATCGAAGACATTGATTGTATTCATTACCAGTAGTACTGTTTTTGTACTAGTGTAGGCTATAGATCTATAGTATGTCCAAATGAATAGATTATTTTAATGATACTTAGGTAAGCTTAAATCTCGCAAGTTCAATGCTTATTTCCTAAGTTCTATAGATAGGACTACAAGTGTGTCTTCTTCCCTAATTCCACTTCGGGCATGGAACGGGTTGCCTGAATCAGCCAAGAAAACCAATTATCTAGAGGAGTTTAAGTCTATAATTACATTGCAAGATGAGATTTACTTATGAATACGTGTAGGACGTATTTATACGTCTGTAACTTATAAGATAAGAAAATAAGAATCACACTTGTCCCCCTTTTTTTTCCGTATACTTTCTTCCATTCTTTCTAATCCTTGTTAATTAACGACATTGATATTTGCTCGTACGTTGACAGAAAGAAAAGCCAAAAATAAAACTCGAATGGCGGCCTGGTTGGTGAGCAACTGCCGAGCCCCTTCACTTAGGGCAGAGTATGTGGCTGAAATGAAGGTTGGTTCTAGAGTGTTCACACAAATTAGTCTAGTTCAGCGGTTCTCATAATCATTGTTTAGTTTAATATTCAACATTGTGAGATCACTTGGTGTTGCACTTGAAATATATATATATATATATATATATAAATAGATAGATAGATAGATAGATAGATAGATAGATAGATAGATAGATAATAAATACTTAGATAGACAGACAGACAGACAGACAGACAGACAGACAGACAGATAGATAGATAGATAGATAGATAGATAGATAGATAGATAGATAGATAGATAGATAGATAGATAGATAGATAGATAGATTAGATGGATAATAAAGACAGAGAAAAAGAGAGAGAGAGAGTCAGAGGTAATGAGTTTGTGCGATAGAAAGTTGTACAAATGAGGGTTGTGTTTTGTGGTCCCTATCTTTATAATTTCCTGATCTAACTTCTTGATAAACAAATCAGACTACTAATCTGTAAAACTTTGTATTCAAAGAAACATATCGAGGTCGACATCTACGGACATTGTGGAAGTACTTCAGACTGTCCAGGGAACGACAAAGGCGTCTGCATGGACTCTCTCCTGGAAAACTACAAGTTCTACCTCGCCTTTGAAAATTCTATGTGCCCAGATTACATCACAGAGAAATTCTTCAAAGTCTTCCACCGGAAGTTAAACATCGTCCCGGTAGTCAGAGGCGGGGCCGACTACGATAGGCTGCTTCCCACAGGTTCATTTATCAACGCTGCCTGGTTCCGGACAGCTAAAGACCTGGCTGTGTATTTGAAGACTATGTCTGATACGACCTACCTCACTTACCTACATAACAGCCAAAAGTTCAGAGAGTCCCGCTCTCTCTTTGTTCTGTGCATGGTCTGCAACGCTGTCATACTGCAAAAAACAGCGCCTAAAATATATGATATTCAAACATGGTTACAGCAGCCGTGCCCTGTGCCGAAGTTTTAATAGAATTTATCAACGATCTAACGCTGTATCCGTAACAACGAAGTATATTTACCACGGATATATATAAAAAATTGAAGATCTGAAACTGGTCAACGTCAGTGTGAAATATCAAGTTACACCCTGCACGATATGTTGGAAATGCTTTAAGAACGTTTATATTGCATTGTAAAGAGGGACTGTGTGCAAACTATTTTAGTCAACAAAGTTATACTCCATTGTTGTACAAACTTTTTTCAGCCTAGGGGCGATAAGAAATTTCTCAAATATGCTTCACGGGCAGAATGATTCGTAAAAAAAAGTCAAATCTAATGACATCAAATCCAATGAAACGAATCCAATGAAATCGAATCTAAAGAAATCGAATCTAAAGAAATCGAATCCAACTAAATTGAATCCAATGTTATCGAACCTTTGGCGACTTTATTACTCACTGAGGGCATACGTTTCCGCGGGCTGAATAAAACCACTCCACAGGTCGGATGTGGCCCGCTGGCCGTAGTTTGGGCATCATAGTGGGGTTAATATATCGTGCATAAATATCGCTTCGTTAGCCTGGAGACGTTATTCTAGCAGAGGCGGCCTTAGCTGCACGTGGGGCCCTGGGCGAAAGTCACGTGACTAACTTTGTGGCTGAGTGACCGAAACCGCTGTTCGAATTTGAATTTCAACTCGAGCTGAATTGTGTTTGTTGAGCACATAAAGACTGCACTGAAATCTTCTCCCAGAAACTCCGTCACCCCAAGGGTCAATAAAAGAGACCAGAGAGCCATGTGCATGAAAGTCGCGCTATACAAAGGTATATAAAAAAAAACAAAAAAAAACATATCATTCTAAAATCTTTCACTATGATTGCTATAGGTGCCAGGAAAGCTTTAACTCTTTCTCTCCAAATTATTTACCACATTCTGATGGAATCAACGCTGGTATCGTCAGTTAGGAGAGAAAGAGTTAACAACCATATCTAAAAGTATGTCACGGCTTCTGTTTTAAAATAGTCATAATAATAATCCGTCTATAGCGTATTGGAAAGGTAAATTAGATGAGTGCCATTTTTGTTTGAGAGTCTGATGGTGATAAAAGAATCTCCATATCGAGGTGACCCTGTCGTGGGGGGGGGGGGGGCGTTTTGCCTCACTATCCACCACCTAAGGCCGCCTCTGATTCTAGTCACTAAGTCGCATTATTAAATATATTATTCACCAAATTGGCAGAGTGTCGTCCATTTGTAATATACTTCACTGGAATGTTTGCATAATGTCGATGTTTTAAGATTTTATATAGGCCTATGTCAGTTTATGTGATACATTAACTTTATAAGTTGAATTGCAGTTTTGGTCAATTATGATATCTCTGGACTAGATCTATATACTCTGGAATCTGGAAAGCTGACTGATCGTGCGGTATGCGCGCTAGACTGTCGTTCGGTCAACAAATTTTGTCCATTTGTGTCAAAGAAACTAGATCTAGATCTACTAATGGCGTACCAATAAAGGGTGTATTTCTTTATTGTAGAAAAGCTGCATTTACAACTTGCAAGTTTTTTATTAGAAGAAACAAAGTTCAGGCCATCGCTTTTTGTTTCGTTCATATGTCGTATGTTTCATACAAATTATACATCACATCATCTTACAAAATTATGATTAAAAATTGGATTTAAAAAAATTGCTGTGTTGGATTAGATTTTTATGAAAGATTTCTATAAAACTTCTGGTCATAGAGTGACCGCTCTAAAAGTATTTCTAAATGATTTGTGTCTTGTCAAATAGAACAATATTATCTTAGCTACATTAGTAGAAGTCTTGATTTTTCTATTGTTTCTTCAAGTGCATTTCAATTGAACTCATTGGCCATACAATCAACTCTCAATTTATTAACACCCTTAGGACAGTTATTACAAGATAGCACTCTAGCTGTTATATCCATAAAAACATCTTCACAATATTCATCGTCCTTATATTCTAAGTTTCATATTTCTATTCATCAATTTTTTACGTACATTGTTCATGCCTACTTGGGTTAGTCAACGTCAAATAACATTGTTGTTTGAAGTGTTTCGTGGTCGCATATAGAGAGACTAAATTATTACAAGACACTCGAAGTTGAAGGCACACATGTATGACATAAGACTGCTTTATTGATCCTTATGGAAATTTGTTGTGATTGCAAGGACTCTTTTCTCATATAAAGACAACACAACAGAGACATACACAATAAACACAACAGACACAACATAGAAAGTTCATTCAGCGACTACACACAGGCATCTTGGTCCTATTCATGTGTTCCTGATCAACGAGTGGCGTTGATATAGTCTGACCGAGTGAGGCACGAACTAGTTTTTTTTTTGTATCGCTCTGTTCTTGTTTTGATTGTAGGACTATATCCAGAAATTCGAGCATTTAAGTTTTACATCTTTGTGAATATGGGTTAGGGTTTCTACGTCGCCTAACGCGGCATGATCTCCAGTAAATGGAGTTGCGAATGTTCCTTCGTGAAAATTACCATGAGATTCAGCGACGTTCCTGACGTGTTTGTGCCAAACAGGCGAGAAAATGAGTAGGCTTCTACTTTTCTTGGACAAGATTCAAAATTTTTTGGCTTTTAAAAACTTACTTTTCTCTATGATTTCTATTTGGTGACATGTTTAACTGTTTAAATAATAATTGTGATTGCAGGGTACCGTTTTAGGTTCACACAAATATGTTCACAATAGTTCGAGTTTTATTGGACTATAAAAAAAAAACACATAGGTCTTATGTTGTTTGTTAGTCTCTTTGTGTGTAAAGAAAATTGAAGCTCACAGAAAACGGGTACAGTAAACAAATCCGTTATTTCTGAATATGTGGCTAGTATTTCACAGTTAAGTAGGCCTAACATATGTAAAGAGTTTTTATAAAAGGCCAATCACGTTTACTGACTTTTAATGTGGCCCATCGACCCATTTAAGCATCGGCCCATCAGGCATTCGCACGGATGCCTATATAGCAAGTCCGCCCCTGCATATGATCTAATTTTTAATTTTAGAAAAACACTCTTCAACTAAAAGTAGCTTCCACTGTATATTTGCAATGAAGCACCCTTTTCCTTGAACAACACCTAAATAAGCATAATTATTATAGTTTATAAAGAGCTTTTAATAATATCCATAAAAAATATACACGAAGGAAAAAGCCAGAAACTAACTGCGCCAGAGGCACATGTTGATGAGTACTGACACAGAAGTCACAGAGACTCTTACCACGAATTGTTGAGTCCAATACAGAATCCACTCACTTGGTGCCATACTTTTCTACACTCTTCCAAATCACTGGACTATATAATTTACTTTATAAAGTTAAAAACATAAGATCGTAAAACAAGTTACAGACGTCCTTTCAACTAGTTCTAGGCATAATCCATCCAAAGGATTAAGGCTTTGGGTTTTAAAACTATAAACACCTTTGTTTTTAATTTCTTTTATTATAAAATTATCTTATAAATTACAGACGCTTCCAAGTCGGTTTTCCTTTCTGGTTCAAGCAAACCATTTTATGCTCTATAACGCAAGGGTATAAGGAGCACTAGTAGGACTTTGTCCTAGCATATAACCTACAACCCTGCTGGACCATTACATTTATTTTTAAATTATAGTTTGATTTCTTTTTTAAGATGGGTTTGCGTATTCACATGAAATAAGGCACTCATCCGAATCTCCTAAATAGAAGATGATAAATATAAAAACTTTTTTTAAAATGGCTGCAATCCATGAATAAAACAGTCTACCTATCTAAATAGGAAAAATATGAACACAACAAGAGAAAATGAAACAAAATTTATTTTCATAAATGACGAATATTTTCAGCCATTTTCTGAATAGAAATATGAACATAAAAACAAAGAAATTTTATACTATTATGGCAGATTTAAAAAAATTTTTTCTTCCATAAATCATCAGACCAGCACTGATCTATATAAACATGTGGACAATAACAAATAGCTTTCTGTGATTTGAAGAACTTCCAAAAATTTTCTGGGTTCTTTAAACCAAATATATGCTACAGCATACAAATGGAGTAATACTATAGTCCAGAAAGAAACTAATTGAACAAGGCATGAATGAATCAACACAACAGCATCCAGACAAAGTAATGCTAGAGTATAATATTTAATGGCAATTAATTTTCTTTAATTAATTCTGGACGGATTGAATAAAGTTTTGGCATTCGACATGGCAAATTAATAAATTACATTAATTAAATTAACAAATATCAGATGGCACGCTAGCCTAAAATCAACATCATAGAAAGGAGATAATTATCATCATGGCTTGTGCTCAAACATAGGAGTCTTTTTGTATATAAGTTATTATTATTATAGCTTTTATATAGCGCTACTTTCATGCTTATAGCATGCTCAGAGCGCTTTTGGTCCGATCTCATTTGTGGACCGGGGGTATCTAGGAGTTGGTTTTCCGTGCTGCCTTTAGGCGCTCAGTAAACACAACTCTGCCCAAGTCGGGTGTCGAACCTCGATCCCCCTTCTAGGTAGCCAAGCCAAGTTCAAGCGCACTTGGCCTCTCGACCACGCTTCCCACAAGTTGAGAGTTTATTGAGAAAAACTGAATAACAAGATTATATTCATATTCTGATATAAAAAGCATTTTAAAAAAACTTCTCTACAATTTGTTTGGGTATTTTTAAAAATGATTTGTTATCTAATTAAGAACTTTGTTAACAACCTTTGAGTTTAGATTTCGTATGTCAATTATACAAACTGTGGAACTTAATCTAATGTTTGTAGCACTACATATGAACTCAGGCAAGATCAACTTTAAAAATGATTAACCTTATATTGTAGATATGGGCGATTAAATGAATTCCTTTTTGAAAGCAAAATAAAGAAAGAAATGCTGCATAAAATAAGAGCTATAAGTATTTTGTTACGAATTGTGATATCTGTAATGTATTTCTACAGACTAGAAATGAGTCCCCCATGTCTTTGGAATAGTCTGTGAATGTAATTTTGTTTCATTCATTTCTTTTTCCATTTTTTTAATCACTTGAAGTTACAGATTTATACAAATTACAATAAAATGTAAAAATAACAAATTTGAATGAACCATTTAAAAAAACAAAAGACATTTCAAACAAATTAGATGCAAGAAGGATACTTAGGAGGATTAATAATATAATCCTCTCAACATGATGCACTCTTCAACTATTGTAGTAAAAAACCGAGTGATTATAAATAAGTATCAAGTTTTAAAAAGTTACAACAGGTTGAGTGATAGTCTATAAATTTTATACAAATAATCAAGTTTGGGGATCATTTTAAAATATCTGCATTAAAACTTGTTCAATTTTAAGTCAAAGAAATTTGAATATTTCATAGATCTATATATTTAAATTATAGTATAGTCGAAACCACAAAATATTAAGATGGGACTCTTTTGTGCAGTATTATGATTGTTTTAGTAACAAGCAGTGAGTTTTTCCACTTCTAGAAGATTCTGTGGACCATCTTCAGATATTTTTATTTATATACAATTCATGATTTTCTAATATGTTTGAGATGAACCAAAATCATTTTATGACTGAGAGGCCAACAGACAGAATATGTTCAAATATGCAATAACTTTGGATACATATATACATATTTCTGAAAAAATATTTTTGTTAGAAAAGAAGTTATACAAATAGAGTTAAAAAATGTACACTATTTCATTGTTTCTTTTAGTGATCACAGTTATTTTGTCAATTAATACTTGAAGAGTCAAATAGAAATACACATCTGAAAATTAATACTGCGTACTAAATGTAAATAGTGTGTAAAAATATAATTATTTTAAGATTGAGTTACAATTGCAGATATAATTAAATATAATATGATATAAAACATTGTTTATAACGAAAAGCAAGCAATATAATAAACTCATAAGTATTACAAGTAATTTTACTCGTATACAAACATTATCAATATATGAAAATATTTTTACTTCTAAAGATGGTCATGATAAGTAAGTTGGTCATGATAAGCTTTATCTTATAAAGTTGCATTCTTTTTGTATCCTTGTGTTAACTTTGATATAGATAAATGCTAATAATTAACAAGAAGATATTGAAACCCAAAACAAAGCTTGCTATCTAAATGAATATGTTTTAGCAATAAACTTTTTTTTAAAAATGCGCTTAAGTACAAACCCGCAATTAACCTGCTAATTTCATCATTTATTCTTTTTTGAGAATATATCAATTGGACTATCGTAAAATAACAGAGTTTGGCAATACAAACAAAAACAAAATCTGCCACTTTGGCTCATTTCTTAATTTTTAATAATCTGCAAGCTTGGCCAGTTCAAAATCTGGCACATCCAGACCAAGCCACTGTAAAAGCTCAAAGTAGGAGAAGACAAATGCTCTGTTCACTTTATGTGCCTGATCCAAATTCACTGACTCTTCCTTGCATAGCCTCTCAAATCTCAATTTGGCAGCTATCAATGCCTGCTCCCTGGCCTTCTCTGCAGCAAGAAGTTTGATTTCTTCTTCAAGTCTCCTTTTCTCTTCTGCTAGTCGCAATCTATGAGTAAATTTAAAACTAGAAAATATTACAAATACTTTAAAAAAAACAACAAAGCTTATGTTAAGCATAATTGTATCAATTAGTTTCGATCAGCCATGTAATTA